CCACGAACTCAACAATGCTGTCCAACAAATCTCCACAATCATCACGATGCTGTTCCACCTGTTGTTTGCGTCGAGTGGGCTTGTGCCCCGACGCAAGAACAGCTTTCCGCTTAATGGCTTGTTCAGTTGGGTAAGCCTCGACATCGTCAACAAACGACACCGTGCGACACTCAACGAGGGCTTCATGTGCAACATAAGCCTCAGGAGGAGTAGACCCGACAGGGAAATCCAGTTTACGCAATAATGCAAGTTCATCCCGTGAGCATTTTGCCACTCCTCGGCTCGCAAACGCAACGAGTGTCCAACGTTCACCTTTCCACGGCTCAGGGCAATGCATGCGATCAGGAGGGAAGGCAAGCACACGTTGGTTGCAGTCATGAGAGCGCCCCATGACGATATGGCCGCTGATGTCTTTTGCAACCATGTCGTCGTCGACCTTTGTGGTACTCTCCTCAATCCATACCTTACCATCAACATAATCGCCAAAGCCCACGATGAGGTTCATACTGCCCACTAAGTTGTGGACATCTTTGTGTGGTTTCATTTTGGCGTTGCGGTTGAGAGCTCGGCTGGACCATCGCGTAGCATCATCACGCAATCGGAGACAGCAATTCAAGTAGCGAACAAACTCACAATGACGCTTAGTGAGATTTGTGATTCCTGCAAAGGTCCCGTATGCGTACACACCAAATGCAAAGGCTTCGCCATTCGAATCGGCACCGGATACAATATCACGAAGCTCATGCCTGGCAGTCAAGGGTGTGACGCGCGCAACATTCCAACAAGTATCCCACGAGAAATCACCTTTCAACCGACACGCTTTGGCAAAGGACTCGGCATCATGCAATGACATTACAGTCGCGGGAAATGCTGGAGCGACAAATCGGGACAATTGCGGTCGATTTATCTGAACGTCCAAGTTCGGACGAAACGTGTTCAATTTCAACTCGGATTGCCTACGCTGTCGGCCTGAAGACAGCACCTGAATTGCACAACGAACCAAGTTAGTCAGAACTGCGCTCCAACGACAATCTTTCATTCTTCCTAAGCGCTTGGAGTCAACATGATCGGCACGCGCGGTGCATTCACAGAGCGCACTTGGGAAATGAAAGTTAGTCGCAAGCTGCACCACACTATTGCACGGAACAAGCTTTGAATCTGAGGCACCAAGAGTTTCATATTTACACCAGCTATGTTGTGAAATCGTTAGACCATTTATCAAACCCTTGATGCTCTGCATGTTCCAAACCTGACTTCGGGCATTTGCCTCCAATACAACCACACCTGCCAAGGACTGCTGTGCCTGTACGAGTGCGCACAAGTGTAGCGTGCGTTGCGCGTCACATTTATTGCCGCTACCCGCTACAGGCCCAGCTAATCTTACCCAAAGTAAACTTGGCCTTTGTTGTTGTATTAGTTGCAACAGATAAGATAGATGACCTTTGCTATGCAAATCGTGATGGAAATGTGATGTGGTGTACCCGTGTGCTTGCAACACGCTCTGACGCTCAGCATTCTTATCTGAAATGATCCAGGCGAGGGGAACATCAGAGCTTTTAGCACATGTTTCGGCCTTAATCAAGCCTCCTCGGCACCCCTGGGCGCTGGAGACTTACTGCGTGCAACCGAAGTTTCACGGGAACACGCGCGATCACGAACAGACATAGCAAAGTCCAGCATTTTGGACTCATGGATTTTATCATTCGGCTCAGTTCCGAAATCACGATCAATGGGCAGAATGAGGCGTCCGGATGGAGAAAGCTCTAAGTCGAACACGCGAGTGCCGGGAGAACATTCGATTTTCAACCCACCGGCACCTGGCAAGTACAGCTTTTGGCCCTTCGTGTCTAACACAGCGGACACTCGCCTCAGACTGCGCAAACCTAACAATGGCGGCAATGCAGAACCATGAATGACAGGAGCAGTGAAGCTTCCAGACACGCCGCAACCATCAACATCACGCAACCTCAACATGACACGGCTTGCATACTCGGCACTTTGGGAATTTTGCCCTACGCCTTCAACTTGCAAACTTTTGGACATACGAAGTTGCCGGTTCGGCGTGCCAACCTGCTCAGCCATTCTTTCTGCAGTCAAACCACCCACCAAGTTGTCATGAGCCCCGGGGTCAACTAACAATCCAACTCTGTTGCCCTCTAGGCGGGTACGTTGGTGGTACAAACCGGCTACCTCTTTCGAGGAGCTATAATCATCAACATCGCCTTCCCACCATGCATGTTGCAACAAAGAACTGAGTTCTAAGACAGAACGCTGACGATCAAGTTGATCCTCATTCGGCGCTCGCGCATTTGGGGGTGGAAACCTTGGTGGCCTGTTGCCTGCGCCTACCGCCTGTACTGTCGTTACGCCTGATGTCGCGTTTGAACTGCTTGCAGGCTCATCTTCTGGTGATGGTTCTGGGTTATGCTCGACATCTGCATCCCAATTCGGGGGCACATTCCGCGATACCCTCGACCGTTGAGACCTTTGCGATCTTTGAGATCTAAGACTACTCACTTGGGATGCGGTTTCCAACCTGAGCATTTCCTCATCTATTCCCGAACCGTATCTAGACGGCGTGGCTTCTGGAAACCCAACCTCGGATGGAGCCTGAGAAGGTGCAGAGGAACCACTACCAGCTAAGTAATGAAATGCGACCCCGCTCACCTGACCTGGGATTCCTGCTGCATTATTGGCCGACGGCCACATCTCAACTGCAGAACGTTTGCCAGCGTTGGTCATTAAGGCTAAAGCGGGGGGAGTGCTGGTTTGTTGTGCCCAATGTGTGCCTGACGCACTTGCTTGATTGCCTGACACAACCTGGGGGCATTTTCGCCACAGATGTGATGTGGAACCGCATTTTGCACATTTCATAATTTGCCCATCCTTACCCCGTGGATTCAGTGCACCCGGGCCTCGGCGAAACCCGCCAGAATTACCCTTACCTTTTCCGCCCTTTCCACCTGCAAAAGCACCTTGTGGAAGGAAAGTTGAGTAAGTTCTGGCATACGGCCCCTTGTCCAGTTTTGACTGAAACCTCGGACCATGCTTGAAGCCATACCGACGGTATCTACGAGGAGGTTTCCCGGAATACCTACGCCAACGCCTGCGGGCCATTACATAATCTTGATACAATGCATTCGCCCTTGCATCATCATCATGGCGTGTTTGGCCATCCACTTCGACCGTGGCATACGATGCGGCATCAGCGTCATACGAACCCGTGTCGGACTCAGTTGCCGATGACATGTCGTCATCTTCGAAATACAACCCACAGTAGGAACACTGACCTTCACCACCAATTTCCATGCCTCCTGCCATTCTACCCATATCAGCATCAAGACCTGTTGCGTATGCGCCGTGTGCGCTGCATCCGGCCATGCCTTCAAAGGCGGCTGTTGATGGCGCGCAACCAGCACAGAAACTTCCACAGGCTGACGCGTTTGGATTCGGGGCATTTCCAAACGTGGGGAAATAGGCATAGGCATTATGCTGGGTATGGTAATTGCCTGGGTCTCCCACTCCTGCTTGATGGTTTGGATGCCTGAGCCCACCTTCAAACAAATGGCCTTGTCGCCGAATGCGCTCAATCAGCATTCCCATTTCAACATCGTTGTGGGGAAGTGCTCCGCCTATGAACTGCAAAAGGCGATCAGTTTGCTCAGCATTTGTTCTGAGGGACCTAAGAAGTATCCAGGCCAAACCCCCATGATTGATCCCAAAGCCGCCCCGTTGTTGAGCACGAGCTCGCAACACATCAAACCGCACAAGCAATGCATCAACACTCTCACCAGGAATCCGATCAAAGTTCATGAAATCACTGATGGCACGGGTGGATTGCTCCTGTTCTAGTGGCAGGTACCTACGTGCTAGAGTTTGCACCAACATCATCAGACCCGTAACTTGATTGCCATTCACGGGGTCTGCACCGCCATTTGCCAACTGATCAGGAGGGATTTCACGTACCAATTCTTTTGCACTGCCGGTTACTTGAAGCGCGGCGATGGGACCCATGCGTTGAGGCTCAACATCGGTGGCCGTAGACCACATAATGAGGTCACTGATCCAAGATCTCAGGGAGTAATGGTGGTTGCGTTCTACACTCCAAGCCGGAGGCACCTTAAGGGTAGCTGTTCCTAAGAACGGTGGTCCTGCATCGCCCACGTGGGCGTGCTGTCGCGGACCGTTGCCAAAGCCTGTTGTTCTATGCGGTGCGCCTGGCATCATGCACGCAATATAAGACAGAGCCAGGGACATCAGCAGAACCAATCCCAACCATTTATTGGCAACAAACCTTTGGACCCAACTCCGCGATGACTTGACTTTGGACTTAGCATTGGCACGCGTTTGCAATCGGCGTTCCTTGCGGGAAAGACGCTTAGGACTCTTAAGGTGCATGTTCATATCCTGTGCACGTTTGAAAGGAGGCATTCGTGACTCAAAGTGTGAACGAGCCCTCTCACGAAACCGCCTCACACTCTCGCGCAACTGTTGTACATCATGCATCCTTGCTTCGTCCTGGGCTTTCGCCCGGATTGAATCATGCGTCACCAAACTCTTTCCTGCAAAGTCGTCGTTTTGGTCATCCGCCAGAAAACTCCGCAACTCACGTTTTACAGGATGGCTATTCCCATAATCAGAACCGTTTTCCAGGAGACGATCAATCTCGCGTAGCATCTGCACAAGTTCTTGTTGATCACGAAGAAGCTGTGCAATTTCTTCTTGGGCGAATAGAGCAACATCAGATTCATGATGCATCGACAAAATGTCCATCATGTTTGTATCATTAACGCTCGCGTTCGGGTCAAGCAAGCCAGAATCAATCCCATCAGGGATGCTGAATGCTTCTTTGGCTGCGTGTGTATCATTGTTCGGCTTCATGTCGGAGTTCATGGGCATTACGATGCCAATGCCAGAAGACACAAGGGTAGTAATCATGGCAAGGCACGAGAGGAACATGAGCCCTGTACGAACACCCGAGAGCTCCGCTACCAAGTTTAGAAACGGACGTCCCTCTGAGGCCACTGCACTCCACATGAAACTATGTTGATAACGCAATGCCGCTTGACCCTTTTCACGTGATGGCATGCTTCAGTCCAGCACTATACAACACCTTCGAGGTTTCAAGTTAACATGCAAACGTAAGCACTCGCGAGCTGCAGCATGCCAAATAGAAGACACATCTCAAGTGGGCATCAGTAGCGCTTGCTACCTTTCAACTCGAGACAGCTTGGCTGCTTTCGTGTGCCGCAAATTTCGATGTTCAGTCGCAAACCGAAGTCCACGACTTGGGTTTAGGTTGCATAGTAACGTGCTGGATCCTGGGCTATGCCTTACTGCATCTCTTTACGGGCAGGAGGTCCAACCCCAAAGCATCCGGAAAGTCAGCCAGGAAACCAGTGAGACCGCGGTGGCAGCAGGAAGCGTCAACGCAGTGGCCACATACATGGCACGTTTTGCCGCTGAAGGCGTGCCTTTCCCAACAGCATTGCCAACACGTGTGTCAGCGCAGATCGAAATGGCCGGAAACAAAGTGAAAAGACACCCATAGACATTCAGCGACAAGCTCATGATGTCCACCTCGATTTTGGCCAGCGGCAGTAGTGCACTGGTTGTGACAATACCAGAAAAACCTGACGACTCAAGCATCCTCATAGCTGCAGAAGGATATGCCAAGGAAGCAATCGAACCCCAGCTGGCTCCAGCTTGCTTCATGCCTTCTGGCGTGCAGCTTCCTCCCCAAATGGTCGGGCCTGCACCCACCAACCAAACAGCCACTACTCCAAAGACCAGCGTCATAAAACCACTGCAGGAAGTGGCGAGTGCGGCTCCCAGTGGGCCAAAGCGGGAAATCAGGATCGACGAGAAGCCATAGTGGCAGAAAAGCACCAGAAGCGACCTTAGCTAATTCGACCCAGGAAGGACAACTCTGAAGCAGTCGCGGAGCCCAGTCCAGATTAGAATGTACATACCTGTTCCTGCTCTTAACACCTCAGTACCCGTAGTACACCCGTAAATTGTATGCCCGGTTGCACGACCATGAATGGGCACGTCATTTGCTGCGATGCCAGGACTCGGTTCATTGGACGCCAGATGCACTGCACTGCAAGGTCAGGAATGACCAACAGCAGGAAATGGGCCGTGGTGCGGCCGATGGCAGGATCTGTGACCAACGGCAGCCAGGAAAGACAAGAAAGGCAGAACAAGCTGAACGGCACGAGGTGCAGCCTCAAGTAATCACTGCCAATGCAGTCCAAGAAGTTCGCTTCTTTCCATCTGGACTACTGCCATGTCCCAAGTTCGCTACATAGACTAGACTTTCGGAAGAATGAAAGGCCCATCCACGAAAGATCCGGCAGCCCTAAACCCACCTCAACACCAGGAGGCAGCAAAAAGCAGGAGGATCTGCGGAAGATAGGGCCCAGCAGGTCCAGACGACCTGCGCCCGCGGCCTGTGAAGAAATGGTGTCAACAGCACCGCAGAGGCCCATGATGAGATTCCGACCTTCAGGTTCAGGCATTAAACCGTGAAGCCGTTTCTAGAGCGCTCAAGCAACATGTGGTCTCTTGCCCAGTTCGCTGGTCCAGAAGTAGCAGCCCCGGAAACAAGCGCTTAATCTATCCCAAGACTTTTGGACTTGCAATGAAGCGGCCGAGGCAAGTGTACAAGGCCAAAGCCAAGCCCACGGATGCATCTGCAGTCGTGCCGGCTCCTCCAACAATGTGCCTCAATTTACTAGGCACCCTCTGATACCTTGTGGACTCTCGCACGAGGTTGGTTCGGTTCACGGGAAGGGTTTCTCGAACAAAGAAGAAATGTCTCAGAAGTCGCCATGTTGCAGAGTCACGAAAGTCAGGGCATAATTGATGATCTG